TTGAGCTCAAGAGCTCAGGACCAGCCTGGGCAGCAGAGTGACACCATACCTCAAAGAAAAGAGAAGAGGGAAGGAGTGGAGAGGAGAGGAGAGAGATGATATTTATACATATATATGTATGTATAAAGCAATTATAATTCTGCGCCAGCAAGGAACACTCTGAAAATGAACAGGCAGTAATTCCACTTACAACAGCACTCAAAAGAATGAAATGCTTAGAAATAAATCTAAAATAAGTGTAAGACGTATTTGTGGAAAAGTAGAAAACGCTGAAAGAAATAAAATGAAATGTTAAGGCATAACACGTTCTTGGGGCGGAAGACAACACACTGAAAGGTTTACGCTTTCAGCCAAACACCCACCAACACCCCAGCCAGCTCCTCTGCAAACGCTGAAACGGGGATCCTGAATTTAACGTGGACCTCGAAGAGATCCACGGGAGACGGAATAGCCCGGGGACGGAAGGAAACTGGGAGGACCGGCGCTTCTCAGTGTGCGAGTTACAGAGTCCGGAGATAAACCTGGGAGACTCGGAGTGGTGAGGAAACGTAAGGCGGAGAGAATGCGCTGAAGACAAACAGCGCTGGGGCGACCGGATACGCAAACGCAAAAGCGCAGAGAAGGGGCCGGGGTGAGCTCGGTGCAGCTCGCGCTGAGATGTGGGAGACCTGAACACCGCCCACTGAAACGCAAAATCAACGCAAAGTGACCAGTGACCTAGATGTGAGTGCTAAAGCCATGAATCTGTGATGGAACAGAGCGAGTGAGTGGATGGGTGAGGAAAGTGTGCTGTTGATCCACGTGGAGCGCTACTCGGCCGTAAAGAAGGTTAAGCGTCGGTCACTGCTAGGAAGGTGGAGGCGCCTTGAGACCGTACCGTCAAGTGAAATAAATCGGACCACACAGGCTGAAATATTGCGTGGTTTCTCTTATATGAGAAATGCAAAGTGAAAATAACGAGCAAAATAAAAGATAGATTAGAAAAGACTGGGAGATGAGTGTTTTGCAGAAGAGAGGGCGACCCAAGCGATGGAGCGGGAGAGGAGGAGGCAGGGGATGAAAGAAGGAACGGAGGTGTGCCATGCAGCGGGCCAGCTCCCCGTGGACGACGAGTCTGTGCTGCAAATGTGTGCTGATAAAAGTAATATCTTGTTAAAGAAGACTGATTTACGGAGGGTTGAGCATCCTCGGCCCTTTGTTAAATGTTGAGACTGGGTCTTGCATGGTTTGCCCAGGCTGGGCTCCAATTTTCAATCTTCCTGCTTCAGCCTCCCAGGGTACTGGGATTACAGGTGTATGCATCAGTGCACCTGGCTAGGAAAAAATTTATGACACAGTCTTCGTGACCTCGGTCATTTCTTTTTTGGATACCACAAAAAGCACAATGGTAATGGAAAAAAATCATAAATGGTGCTTTTTAAAGTAATACTCTTTTATTCCTCAAATGTTAGCATTTAAGAAAATGAAAAGCTAACTCTAACCGTGAATGTCATTTGTGCTCTCACTAAGGGGCTCTGTTATGTGATCAAGTATCAACCAAAGGGCCAGGGATTTAGCACAGTGGCACCGCGCCTGCCTCACAAGCTCAAGGTTCTGAGTTGAATCCCTGGTACCAAAGAGAAAGAAAAAAATCAACCTGAATTTGTGCTTCAATGAGTAAACTTTGAATAACCCGCCCTTTATTGTGTGAGTGCTGGTTACTCAGTCACTGAAGGCTTCAAAAAAAGGCAGGTCCCAGAAAATGAAGGGCTGTGGCTCCAAACTGCCTTCCACTCCAGAGGGCACTCTTGTGAGGCATGGCGGTGCACAGCTGTATCATAGCCCTCAAGAGGCTGAGGCAGGAGGATCTTAAATTCAGGGCAACCTGGGCTACACAGCTACTTCAAAGCAGGCCTGGATTCCGTAGTGAGATCCTGTCTCAAAAAATAATAATAATAGTAACAACTCCTGACAGTTTTCACCCTGCAAGCCTGCTCAACAGATCTGAGACTTGGAGGTCGCTAGAACCATGTGAACCAATTCAGAGGGGAGGGGGATCATAATAGAACCAACATGGGTATACTTGTGAACAAGTCAACCTGAATCTATTTTTCTAGAAGGAAAATCCTACAGAATGAAACAAAATTGTTTATCTAATAAAAGACTTTAAGCTGGAACATGTTTTATTTATTTTTTGTTTTGTTTTGTTTTTTGTTTTTTTGAGACAGGGTCTCACTATGTAGTTGAGACTGACCTGGAACTCACTATGTAGCCCAGGCTGGTCTCGAACTCACAGTGATCCTCCTGCCTCAGCCTCCCGAGTGCTGGGATGACAGGCGTGCACCACCACGTCTGGCTGGAACATGTTTTAAAACCCATATAGCTCCATAACAAAAACAACCACCAGGCATACCTGGAATCCCAACATGCTGGGAGGCTGAGGCAGGAGCATCAGAAGGTCTGAGTCTAATGTGAGCAACTTAGTGGTTAGCAAGACCACAGCTCAGTGTGAAGGGGCTGGGTTCAATCCTCAGTACAAAAAGAAAAAAAAGACAAGCTAATTTCTGAGATGACTAAAGAATTACATAAACATTTCTCCACAGCCTGTACAGAATGGCCAGCAAGCGCCAGAAAAGGTGCACATTACCGTTAGTCATTAGGAAAATGCAAAGCAAAACCACAAGAGAATAGGCCTTCCCATTCACCAGGGTGAGAAACTCCAGGAAGTCACGAGATTGAGGGAGAACAGCCAAGTCCCTTGTCCCTGTTCGGAACGCAAAGTGATGTGGTCACCGGGGAACCCACTGGTTTCCAGCGCGTGGTCTGCAGCCCAGTCTTCCGTGCCTAGCCCTGTGCTCCCGAGAAGCGACAACGCCCACACACAAGTGTGTGCACACACTCCACAGCTCGCTCCACGATGGCCAGAGAGGGGACAGCCCGGGTGCCCGCGGGCGGAGTGGAAAACAGCCCACCCCATCACACTGTGCTCTAGCAAGCAAGGGGATTCCAATACAGGACGCTGCCGCACGGGCCTGGGACGCTGCTAAGGGACAGAGGCCAGTGAGGAAAGACCAGTGTGGCGCCGGGCCGGCCAGACCAGGAGCCAGAGCTGGGGGCGCTGCCAGGCCCCCCAGGGCGGGGAGGGAGCCCCTGCTAAGGGGCGTGGAGATTCTCTGAGGCAGGGACCCCAAGCCCAACGTCCCTGCTAAACGTCCTGCGGACCCCGCCTCTGCTTCCGATCTGCCCTTCGTTCCTTCGGCGTCTGCTTCTGCCTCAGGAACCGAGCAGTAACAAAGCCTCACTCCCCGAGGCCCCGGCGTCAGCAGGCACAGCCTGATGCCAGGACCACCGAGATGGCCCCACCTCCGCGGGTAGGATGCGTCTCCGGGGTATGCCTGGCCAGGGCCCGGGTCTCAGAGTTCTGACACCGCCATGCGGCCGCAAGCCTCCTCCAGACCTGTGCAAGTCTCACATCTGTGCCCCCTCTGACGGCTGCAAGGAGGAAGCCCAGCTTCCTGGTAGTCTAGGGGCAGGGCTCTTGTAGTGGCAAAAAGAAAGAAACCACAGACAGACAGACAGACAGACAGACAGTAAATCTGCCTCGGGGAAACATGCATCACCTCACATAGTCAGAGCCGTATTTACCACCCCTTGTGTAACCCTGTTATAATGATGTGGGTGTAAGGCTTGGGATTTATTTAGTTTTCAGTGCTGGCGCCTGAACCCAGGGCCTCCTACATGCTAAGCGCCTGCTCCTCCCACGGCTCCACCTCCAGCCTTGAGCCTGGGATTTTCGGCGGCATCTACAAGACCAACAAGGTCACATCTGGGCTTCCTCTTGCCTTTGACCTCCCGTCTCTCATCACCTGCAGCCTTTTGCATCCGTAGCTGGCGCACGGCTGGGGCGGAGACAGAGGCAGATCTGTGCATTTCAGCGCAATCCATCCATCTCCTCAACTACCGCTTCCTACTCGTCCTGCGCGTAATCGCAGAGTACGACGGTGTCCTGCAGGGTCACCGAGAACACAGCTACAGCCTGCCCTTCCGGAGGTGTCTCAGCAGCCCAGACCGGTCGTCCCCTGAAACTCCTCCCCACTGCCAGGTCAGCCCTGACTGATAACTTACTTCAGCTACCACACTCCTGGCCACAGATGTAATTTTCTGGTATCTTTGTAGTTGTGGATTATAGTTGTTATTTCTGGTCTCTGTACCTTTTAAAACTCAAGTGGTAACCATAGCCATCTAGACACTGCTAGCGCCCTAGTGAAAGTGATGAACAAAATCATCGTAAAAGGGCTACACAGAATTTAATTTAGTGTTGCTTTTCATTTTCAGAGTAGTTAATTGTAAATACCTGGTCAAAATTCGGTCCCTTGATCTCTCTGCAATTCCATAATCATGGACGACATGAACTATGGACAACTCTCTGGCCAGTTCATGCTGAAGGAAAGGTGCGGCCGGACCCAGGGAACTGCAGGTAGGGTTTGGGGGTTACTCCCCAACGAGTGGCCGTCCAGTTAGGACAGAGAACACAGTGCTCTGTCCCGCTGTGGAATTCCCAATCTAAGGCACGGGAAGATTTGCATAGCTGTTGTCACTGTATGGAAAGGGTGCAAGAGCAGAGGCCATTCAGGCCCGCTAAGACTCAGTTTCCAGGTTCCCGTTTCTCTGAAAGATGGAAGGTGGTACTTGTGTCTGGAGGCTGTGAGATGCTAAGAGCCAGCGTCCCGGTGCACAGGTGAGCAACCCCAGAATCTACTGCCCAAGTTACAGGTCACTGGCTATCAATAAATCACTGCTGGAAAGTTACCCAAACACCGGGCTGTGTTTTGCATTTGTTAAATGAGAAAGATAATGTCAATGTTGGTGATAATGTAAAGATTAACTTGATTATGTAAAATAGCTACATCAGTGCCAGGCACAAAGCAATAATGTGATGTACATGAGGTCTGTAGCATTCTCCATCAAAGCAAAAATACCTTTTTGTTTGTTTGTTTGTGTTTCAGTGTTTCAACACTGGTCTCACTATGTAGTCCAGTCTGGCCTTGGACTCACTATGTAGCTGATGCTTATCTTGACTTGTTGAGATTCTCTGTCCTTAGCCCCCTGAGTGCCGGGATTACAGGTGTGTGCCACCTCTCCCTTTCCAAAGCAACCAAAAGATGTTTTAATCAGCCCTCTTAACTCTTATTGCCACACATTTCCAAGCATTTTACAATGATTGTCTGGCATTTCTGAATATTATTTCTAGGAAGATATTAAAGTGCAATGCAGGCAAAAGAAAATCTTTTGAACTAAGAATCAGGATATGGAGTCTCTCTTTTTTTTTTTTTGTCAGTAACTAATTTGATCTTAAGTGATTCAGGTTTTCGGCTTCCTCACCTAAATAACAAGGGAAGTATTATGGCTATTATCTGGATGGTCCCCAAAGCCTCATAGGCTCATATGTGGAGCTTTGGGAGGTGATTGGACCATGGGAGTGTGATACTCACCCTGGATTGGTCCACTGATGAGCTGATAGCTAAATGTGACATTAGAAAGTGAAGCCGGGTTGGAGGAGGTGGTCACTGGGGGCGTGGCCTGGAAAGGTCGATCTCCCTCCTCCTCCCTTGATCTCTCTGCTTTCTGATGCCATATGGTGAACAGCTCTCCTCTGCCAGGCCCCTCTGCCAGGCCGCCCTCCCTCAGAGCCAGTGACTATGGACTGAGATCTCTACAACTGAGCCAAATAAACCTGTTCTTCTTTAAGTGTGGGTGTTGGGTATTGTGTCACAGTGGCAAGAAAATAAACTAATAATCTGTAGGACCCTTCCAGCTCTAACTGTCTCCCCAAAGAGACTCTATTTTATACCATTACCCTGACACAATTAGGATGTCTTTCTATGAAAGCCATTTTCAACAAATATATTTGCTTAAATCTGTTAAGCTCTTTTTGTTTTGGTTTTGTTGTTGTTGTTGTTTTGTTTTGTTTTTGGTTTGTGGTACTGGGGTTTGAACCCAGGACCTTTGTACTGAGCTCCATTGCAAGCTTTTTTATTTTTTATTTTGAGATGGGTTCTTACTAAATTGCTACATTTCCCGGGTTGGGCTTGAATTTGTGTTATTTATTTCTGCCATAGCCTTCCAGTGTTGGGATTGTAGGCAACAATCCCAGGCATGTTGGACAAGAAATGTGACAAAATACATGTTTCCATTATAGTTTCAAGAACAACAAAATGTACTCTATCTAAAGAAACATTTTAGTAAAATTAGCTTCCAGTTCAGAGCAAGTTGAGAATTTCCGGTGAGACTCACCTGAAGGAGAGAGAGAGATCTGGAGGAGGGAGGGGCAGCATGTAGAATGCCTCCAGGACAGGTTCAGTTATGCTTGAAACTTTGGCGTTCATTTAGTTTTGTTAGCATATTTTTAGGAAACATAATAAATATATTTATCCTGGGCAGGAGGAAAGAGTTGGTGGACGATGGGTAGATGGATGGATGTTGGATGGGTAGGTGAATGGATGGATTGGTGGATGAGAGGTGGGTGGAGAGAGAGAGGGAGAGAGGAAAAGGAGAATAGCGAGCTACAGAGCACAATCAGAAAGACATCGTCCATAGCCCCCAAACTGAAAGGTAATGGGAAGCCTAGGATCTTTAGAAATGTCACAAAAAGACTTTTTCTAACCTTCTAGATAAAAGGAGACTAAGAGAATATACAATTCTTGATGAAAACCTTGGGTGACACACTGGCCTGCCTGCATTACTCTCGGCTGCTTCCGGGGGGAGACTTTAATATGAAGAGAAAGGACAAGGGTGAGTGTGGCCGGACAACGGTAATGCTTGGATGTACTGGGAGCATCTGTAGGTATGCATCTCACTGCTCTTGTCACCTGTCATAGGTGTGAAGTCCCTGACAACAAAATGCTTCTCAAAAGAAATGCCTTGCACATCTTTTCAGTGTGTAAATTATGATACAGATGAAAAAGCAAAACCAAACTGTGGATCACACAGCGTTTCCAGCTGAGCTCCACCCTCTGCACACCCCCGTCCGTGGCAGAGAGGCCGTAGGAGGCCGCGCGGGTCCTGACGCGTGCTCCTCTCTGCTTGTGGCACCCTGGCACCGAGAGCCACAGGCTGCCTGCCTCCCACCTCTGAGCAGCCGTTACACTGTGGTGTCAATTGGGTAACATCGAGAGAAGAAAATGGGAACCTCCAGATGCAAATGAAGCTTGTGGTGAAGCCTTTAAAAGTTAAAATTCAAAAGCAGCCCAGGGGAATTTCTTTTCCTCGACTGAGGCAGCCGTGATACCCGAATGGACAAACGGGAGGGGACTGCACAGACAGTGACCACGGCCTCCTGCGCTCAGGGGAGGGATGGACTTGGGTGCTCTGGACCCCAGAAGAAAGATGGGGGAGGAAAGGTGGCAGGAGAGGGACCAGGCCCTGATCACGTGGATCAGCCCCCCACCCAGTGACCACCGGTACTGTGCTGTGTACTAATTAGAAAATAAAACACATTTTCATTTTTATTTTATTTCTTTTATTATTTTTTTGTTTTGTTTTTTTGAGACAGGGTCTCACTATGTAGTTGACACTGACCTGGAACTCACTATGTAGCCCAGGCTGGTCTCAAACACACAGCGATCCTCCTGCCTCAGCCTCCCGAGTGCTAGGATGACAGGCGTGCACCACCACGCCCGGCTTTAAAACACATTTTTAAATGAAAAGAGAAATACAGGTATTTGCACATCTTTTAACCACCAAAAAGATGATGAATTTAAAAAGGAAGCCTTCTCAAAGGTGGAAAATCTTTGCCGTTTCTCTGCACTTGAAGCTATAATGCACGACCTGGCCAGATGGAAGGAAAGGCGTCCCCAAGTGTGGCCTTGGTGTACACTGGTGCAGCACCAAGGAGAGGCGCCCACAGAGGGGAGGGGAGGGAAGGGAAGGGGACACGCTGTGTGCCCAGGGAGCGTCACAGGGGACTTTATGGAAACAAAGACGGGCAAGAGGAGCCAGCACTAAGCAAGGCTGGCAGGCTTGGCAGCGTCCACCAAGGCTGAGTGCATCTGATTCCTCTTTCCTTAGGGCCACGCGGGACAAAGGGGGACTCTTAACTCCAGCCCTGAGGACCACGGGGGAAGAGGTGCAGGTACACCAGGATTCAGCTGTGTAAAGGGTAAGCATGAGGACAGCTAATCGCTGGATTGTGAGTGGGGTGGAGGAACACTTTATCCTCTGAAAGACCCCTTAGCAGGCACGCGCTTCTCATCCCAGCACCCAGAAGGCTGAGGCAGGAGGGTCATGGTGAATTCAAGGCCAGCCTAGAATACGTAGGGAGACTCTGTCTCAAAAATAAATAATGGAGGGCGGGGAGGGAGAGAGAGAGGGAGAGAGAGACTCCTGGCTGCTGTCTAAGAGCTCACTGGTAACAGGGGCTCCCCACCTTGGCTGCGACTTGGCACATCCACCGAACCTTCCTCCTGCTCTGCACCTCTGCAATCTCTGCAGAGTAAGGCAGCATCTGTACAGCCAGAGAAACCTTCGTCTGAGGGGAGAGTGGTCCTGGGTTTCACACATCCAGCACTGAATTGGACGCACATCTGTTTCTGTTTATCCTGTGAGGAGCTTGGCTGAAAAGGGCCACACAGAGGGTTAGGACAAGAGATGACATAGGCTTAGGTCAGTGTGGTTTGAAGCTCTTTCATCTCTAGTCAGTGTCCCTTTAAAAACATTCTTTTTTTGGTAGTGGAGATTGAACTCAGGACCTTTTCACTCTTTTCTTTATTTGTTTGTGCATTATTTACATATTTATGTCATTTTTTTTTTAGAGACAGGGTCTTGCTAAATTCTAAGTAGCACAGGCTGGCCTGACCTATGACCCTCCTGCCTCAGCCTCCCAGAGTGCTGAGGTTCCAGACATGCACCACTGAGATCAGCTTAGTGGAGCATCCTAGGACAAACGTCTGAGTATGTCTTTGTACCTGTAAAGTGGGTACAAAACTCATACCCACTTTACAGGAATATCTGAAGATTAAATGTAACCAAAGGGCACTGAACTATGTCCCTAGTCCCTTTTTTATTTTTTAAGACAGGGTCTCACTTAGTTGCCAAGGTTGGGCCCAAACTAGCAAGCTCCTGCCCCAGCCTCCCTGGAGCTGGGGTCACAGGTATGTGCCCCCAGTAGCAGAGCTGCAGGCGTGTTCTCAGGACAGCCACGTGTCCTGTGTCCCACCCACCACACAGGGCGAGGGGAGGCTGCAGGGGCCACGCGGGTCCCCCCGAACCGACCCTAGCGGTCACTCACTTCCCCGGGGCCTCTTCCCGCGGTCCCAGCTCTGGGCTGGAATGACCTGTCCGGAGATCTGCAGGCGTCTCAGGTCGTCCCCCAGCCCCGCAAGTCCCTGTTTGCGTAGAGAAGTCACCCGGAATCCAGGCCACGCCGAACCCCAATGCCTCGGAGCGATGTGTCTCGTTCTCCTCCCTGCCCTTGACCGACTGGGAGATGAGGCGCCCAGAAAGCTGTCTCCAGCTTGGGTCCTTCCCTGTGGGTGCTCGGCCGCGCACAAGTGACTGCTCAGGAGCAAGCTCTGTCCCCAGCACCCTCGCACCCTTTCGTTCCGTGCACAACTCGGGCCTCGCACTTTCCACGCGCTTCGTGCACCGCCAGGACGGACCGCGGCCCAAGTCGTGGCAGCGTGCCGGCCTCTTGCCTCTCTCGGAACCTCCCGGAGCTCGGGCTGCGCTTGCGAGGTTAAGTGAGACTCTTCTGCCAGGGGCCCGATTAGCATTTGACTTGCTCACAGTTGATCACCCGGGAGCACCCTTGGATTAATAAAATGCTAAGGCGGCCCACGCCCAGCGTCTCTGTCCCGTCGGCTTGACCCGGGCTCTGTCACAGAGGCCACGGGGGGCAGCTGTGATAGCAACTCCGCAGTGTAGCACAAGGGGCTCATTAACAAGTTCCAGAGTGGCGCGGCGGAGGACAGGACCCGGGTCCAAAAGCAGCTGCTTTGCTGCTGGTTTCTTTGGTGAAATGTTTTGTCCCGCAGCAACATTTCACTAAAAGTAATCTCCACAAGTGTTTCTGAGTTCCAGGAACTTGAACAACACGATGAAAGAGGAAAAGCTCATAACTGGAGAAGGCCTTTCAGTATCTGTACAACCCGTGTCCAAAATACCTTAGAAATGAACTCTGAACACAGAAAAAGTGATTTTTTTTTTTTTTTTTT